GCCTTGTTGTTTCCAGCGCTTTACTGTGGATTATTTCCTGAACCAGCGGAATTCGTGGATTTAATATTGGCGTTCCGCTACAATTGGTGGCAGCGACGGGATCCAACTCTACAGTCGAATACAGCGCATTCGAATGAAAGGAACAACCGAACGGAAAAAGGGAATGGCAATTCGTATGCAGCAAACAGGCGAAAGAGATCAGTGAATGGGGACTGATTACACGACTTTAAAAAGGCAGACGCTAAAGGAACTGCTGGAGGCTAGAGGGAAAAGCGCTAGCAATAAATCCAAGGCGGTACTAATTGCAGAGCTGATGGAGGGCGACCGAGCACACAGCAGCCCAACCCCACCAGCCAGGGAGGAAACCCCATATCAGAGGGAACTGAGAACCCGGCTGGAATTTGTACCTCAGCCAGTACCCCTGGACATCTTGACCGTTCTGATGGCAGACGTACAGGACTACATTATGGCGCAACAGCACCAGGGGGCACCATCCAGGGCAGAATCCATCGCCAACTCATTCTACGCTCCAGTGAAACAGAAAATACCGTACCAGGCATTTAAAGCATTCTGTGAGGAGAAGGATGACCTGCAGGATTTCGAGCGGCTGTGTGACCTACACGACCTGGAGCAGGCAATGTGGGTACCCCTGCTAGCAGGCAAGTTGGCAGGGCGGGCAGCAGAGGCTTATCGCGCTGTTCCCAGAGAGGACAGCAAGGACTACTTTAAAGTAAAATGGGCAATCCTAGAGAGGTATGCCATCACACCGGAGGCATTTCGGCGTAAATTTCGGGGATTGCAGAAGCCTGAAAAAGATTCCCATGCTGAGTGGGCACATAAGCTTGACCAAGCTTCGCAAGGGTGGATTCAGGCCAGCCAGGCCACCACCATGGAGGAACTGCGCCAACTAATTTTGCTGGAGCAATTCTTTAACAGACTTTTACCAGAGGCACAAGAATGGGTAAGGGACAGAAAACCCCTCACCCTAACGGAAGCCGCCCGGTTGGCGGATCAACACTTTGATGCCAGGAGGCATCATGGGCTCACCAACAAGGGTCCCCTGAGACCACCGGTACAGCACCACCTGACCACCTCCGCACCAACCAACTCCGCTCCATTCCGGCCAGCACAAGGGAAACCCCCACCACCATCACGCTACAATGGCAGAGCAAACATCCAATGCCATACCTGCCGTCAGTGGGGGCATATGTCCCGGGAGTGCACCCAGAATCGGAGTAGACAGGCGTGGAACCAAGTGCGGCAGAATTCCACCCCAAGGGCAGCAGCACATTATTACCACACAGAACCCGACAACCCCGAGCTGATGAGCCTGCAGACCGAGGAACCTCTGGGGGTTTTGTATGATTTGATGTCTGTGCAAGCCACGAACAACAGGCAGCATCACCGTCAAGTTGTGTTTGTGGGGGGGAAAGAAGTACAGGGGCTGAGGGACTCGGGAGCCACTTTAACCCTGGTTGCCCCACATTTGGTTCCAGATACGGCCCACACTGGCGGATCAGTGGCAGTCAGGGTGGAAGGGGGAAGCAAGGTACCGTCTACCCACTGCCAAGGTACATTTGAACTGGGGTGCTGGGGAGGGGGTTGTGGATGTAGTTGTGATGAAAAAGTTACCAGCAGATGTTGTGTTGGGGAATGACTTGGGCCAGATGACTTCAGCCTTCCTACCTCAGGCCCCTTCGCAAGAAGCTCATCCTGTAACTACCCGGCAACAGGCTCGCACCACGGTTCCACCAGCACACTCTGAGGCTCAGGTAAGAAACCATGACCCCCCCTCGACGCATATGACCTGGGACACCCCGACCACCTTTGAAGCCGAGGTCCAGACAGACCCCACACTGCAATTGTACAGGGATAGGGTAGACACGGACCAGGTGGGGCGGTAGGGGGAGCGGTACATTTGTGAAAACAAATTGTTGTACCGGGTAGCCGAAAGGGCGATAGGGAGCTCTGTGACCGTCCAAGCGAAACAGCTGGTAGTACCCCAGAAATATAGACCCGAGTTACTGAGAATAGCTCATGACATCCCTCTGTCAGGCCATTTAGGGATGACCCATACCCGATATCGCTTAACTCACGCTTTCTTCTGGCCCGGGATTTCTAAAGATGTGAGACACTATTGCACCTCCTGTGATGTGTGTCAGCGGGTAGGTAAGAGAGGGGATCGCCACAAGGCAAAACTGTGTCCCCTAACTATAATTGAGGAACCGTTTAGCCGTGTGGCCGTATATATAGTGGGACCGCTACCAAAACCCAGCCCATCTGGGAAGCGGTATATACTGACCGTGGTGGACTACGCCACCCGGTACCCCGAGGCGATTGCCCTAACCAATATTCATACGGAGGACGTGGCAGCCATTTGCACGCCCGCCTCGGAAGATCAGGAGAACCTACCTCTCCCAGATCTGTTAGAGCAGGAGGAGCAGAAGGAGCCCTCCCAGGGGGTTCAGCTGGGGGAGCGGCTAAGTCCTCAAGAGCGCACCCAGGTACAAGAACTGATAGCGGCGAAGGGCGCCACCTTTTCTAACTTACCTGGGTACACTCCACTGGCCACTCACCGAGTAGAAACCCCGGGACAGCTCCCCATGCGACAAACCCCATATCGGATTCCCGAATCCGTACGGGAGCATATGAGGAAAGAGATTGAGGAGATGTTGCAGTTGGGGGTTATCGAACACTCCGATAGCCCCTGGGCATCGCCGGTAGTCCTGGTTCCCAAGAAAGACGGTACCACCCGGTTTTGTGTGTACTACCGGAGGCTGAACGACAAAACCGTGTCGGACGCTTACCCGATGCCCCGGATAGACGAATTGCTAGATAAGATGGCCAGAGGTCAGTATCTCACTACGATCGATCTTTGTAAGGGATACTGGCAAATTCCACTAGCCGAGGATGCCATCCCCAAGTCGGCGTTTGTCACCCCGTTTGGCTTGCACCAATTTCGAGTCATGCCATTCGGGATGAAAAACGCCCCAGCGACATTTCAGCGGATGGTGGATCGGCTACTGGACAGGTTCCAGGACTATGCGTGTGCATACCTGGACGATATTGCCATATACAGCCAGACATGGGCTGATCATCTACAACACATAGGGGCCGTGATAGATCGGATTGGAGAGGCAGGGCTTACCTTGAAACCAAGTGCCACATAGGGATGGCGGAGGTACAATACTTAGGACACCGAGTGGGGAGCGGGCAACAGAAGCCTGAGCCCGCAAAGGTTGAAGCTGTAGCCAAGTAGCCCACCCCTAGGACTAAAACCCAAGTCCTTGCCTTCTTAGGTACCGCCAGGTATTATAGGAAGTTTGTGCCCAATTACAGTGCCCTGGCCAAGCCCCTGACTGACTTGACGAAGAAAAACCTGCCCAGGCAGGTCATCTGGGCCCCAGAGTGTGAACAGGCATTTAACCAACTGAAGACGGCTCTGACCAATGCTCCCATACTTGCTGCTCCTGATCCAACTAAACGTTTTCTTGTCCACACAGATGCCTCAATGTTTGGATTGGGAGCAGTACTGAGCCAGGTCGGAACAGATGGTGGAGAACATCCCGTAGCATATTTGAGACGAAAATTGTTACCCCGAGAAGTGAGCTACGCCGCCATCGAAAAAGAATGCCTGGCCGTGGTGTGGGCCTTGAAAAAGTTACAACCGTATCTCTATGGGCAACCCTTTTCTTTGCTCACAGATCACAACCCGTTGATATGGCTGAACCGTGTGGCTGGAGACAATGCCAGGCTGCTGCGCTGGAGTTTAGCGCTGCAGCCTTTTGACTTTACTATCTATTATCGCCCAGGGAAACAAAACGGTAACGCCGACGGGTTATCTAGACAAACAGACCTTGAGAAGTGATCTGTGAGCCCTCCTCCGGACATCCCCAAGCCGATCCGTTGGGATCAGACTGTGTATGCCGGCTTGGTTCTGGGGGAGCATTGTGGCAAACCTAGCCACTTGGACAATATAAAGAGACTGTACCTTTAAGGGTTGCCTGTATGTCGGTGGGGATATGTGTTTAATTATGCATAATGTATGCTGGCTGTAATACTGTGTATTTCCTGTATTTGCTATCTGACGAATGCAGATAGCTATTTGTATTGGGTTTTCCTTTCGTTTCACGAACGGCACTTTTGTGGGCCGTTCGTGAACCGAAAACACTCTACATAGTAGCCCACACACTTAGAGGTGTGTGGCGCTTGTTAACCGATTGCAACAATGTTGCAATCGGTAATTAGAGGCTCTCCTAGGTGGCCGCCGTTCGACTACCGACCATGCGGTGGTCGGCCATCTTGGATCCTTTGTTCCCTCAGCGGTGTTAGGTCGTCGAGCGCATGGTACTAAAAACGGCTACTCGACGGCACGAACACCGCTGAGCCTCCAGGCCGTTCGGGAGTTCCGGGCCGTTCGGTATTTCATTCCCTGGAAGGCAATCGGTCATTTTAATATGTCTTTTAATAAATGTGTTTTTCGTGCGGCGTTCGGTTGTTTTAGCTGGGATCTGAGCGGTAATCTCACGAATGATGCGCTCAGACCCCAGCTATCTACCGAACGTCCATTCGTTTAAATAGACCGCATATTCATAGAGTTATACATTTTTATACGAATTGTAAGTTCTGCTGCACGGAGGGATAATCCACTTAATGGCATATTCCAGTGGGAGGATCCCTCTCGTGCAGCAGTGCCTGATGGGAGAAATGCCCTGTATTGTAAGTCCCCCATGTAGTCCCCTCTGGGAATGCCCCTGGGAAGGGACTCAGGAAACCCCTTGCATGGGGACTTGTATAAATTGTGAAGCTGAATTAAAAGACCTCAGTTGACCCTCAGAACTGTGTTTCATCCGGTTACTGGGAGGTTTGGGATATTGCCTTGTTGTTTCCAGCGCTTGACTGTGGATTATTTCCTGAACCAGCGGAATTCGTGGATTTAATATTGGCGTTCCACTACAGTAGCCACTCGTTACCCAGGTGGTTGAGCCCCTGAGCCTTGAGTGGCCTTCTGGTCTTAAGCAGAGATGGGAGACTGGAACAGAAAGATGATAATCGTAGTGAGGCAAGCCGAGGTCAGTGGGAAGGAGAAGCAGCAAAGTCAAAACAGTCCAAATTCAGCAACAGGAAGTTGAAACAGGAACACGCTTGATTAGAGAGTACAGGAACCACAATAATCTGGCAAAGGTACAGAGACAGGAAGTGGCTTTTATAGGCCAAGAACCAGACACCTGACCAGACACAGCTGAAGAGAGTTGTCACTGATAACCGTGACTCTACAAGCAATGATATCAGATCTCAAGTAAATTTGTAAAAGGCAGGCTGGTGTACTGGTAAGGAAGAGGTTTAGCACCATGTAAAGCAGGGTTCAAAACCCAGCAGAGTCAGTTTGTCACATTCGCAAATCATCATCCCCTGCTGGTGCAGGTTTCTTTTTTGTGTCTAAAAAGGATGAAGAATTATGCCCTTGCATTGACTTTAAGCAAAATTACCATACAAAAATTGCCATCTTCTCGGGATCTAGTTCTCATATTTATACACAACATTGTTAGGCTTTATGGGATCCCTCAAAACATTGTGTCAGATAAGGGTTCCCAATTTGTGTCAAGATTCTGGAGGGCATTCAATAAACAGTTGGGCAATAATTTGTCTGCTTACCACCCCCAGACCAATGGTGCATCTGAAAGGGCTAACCAATCCCTTGAGTTGTATTTACGTTTCTTTGTGAACAGCACTCAGTCTAACTGGGCTGATTTGTTGCCTTGGGCAGAATTTGCTAGGAATAACGCTACCCATGACGCGTCTGGACACAGTCCTTTCTTTGTCAATACAGGTCACCATCCTACTATTCTCCCTGATGTGTTTTCTGACACAGCTATCCCCACTCTGGATGACCACATGGCCTCTATTTGTGATACTTGGACTAAGGTTCACTCTGCTCTTGAAACTGCAGCTGCTTGCTTTAAGTCCCATGCTGATAAACGGCAGCGTGCCAACCCAGTCTACCAGGTGGGGGACCAGGTTTGGCTGTCTTCTCACAACATTAGGCTGAAAGTTCCTAGCATGAAATTGCTCCTAGGTTTCTTGGTCCTTACCGTGCCCTTGGGAGCATTAACCCTGTTTCTTATTCCTTGGTCCTTCCTGCATTCTTGCGCATTCCTAATTTGTTTCATGAATCTTTACTCAAACCACTTATTTGCAATAAATATACAGTCCCGGTGGTTCCCCCTCCTCCTTTGGCTGTTTCCGGTAAGGAGGAGTATGAGGTCTCCTCTATTATTGATTCCAGGTTCTCTCGTGGTTCATTGCAGTACCTGGTTTATTGGAAGGGGTATGGACCTGCCGACCGCTCTTAGGTCCCTGCTTCTGATATCCATGCTGGCCGTAAGGTTCGCTCTTTTCACGCCAAGTTTGCCGGTGGGCGGTCTTCAGGTGGGGGGGTAATGTAACAAATTCATCCGCTTATGGTAAAGTGGTTAATGGTATTTAGCATCCTGACAGGAATAGCTGTGCCCATCTGCAACCATGCGCTCGGATACCTGATAAACTAGCATGTCTAGGGACGCCGGCCGCTGCGGATCTATGCCACTTTATAACCCCATGACTGCCCACGTTAATGATGACGTCGGCGTGCGTGTGATGTTACGCACGCGCATGTTTTGGGGTCAAAGGTTGATTACAGCCAATCGGAATAACAGGAGGGCTATTTAAACTTATTTTTACATTCTCTCATTGCCTTGTCATGGTTTCTGCCTGATGGTAATCCGAGGGTGTGTTCCTGATCTTGATTTTTTGGTATTTGACTTTGGCTTAGTTCTGACTTCCCTGATTTCTGGTATCCTTGACCTTTGGCTTTTTCTCATCGCTGTGTCTGATTCTCTATCCCTGACCTCAGCAAGTATTCTGACTATTCTTGGATACGTTAAGTCCGGCCATTTTAAGGTCCAGTTAGACGTTATCCTTAGTCCTAGGTGTGATACAATTCTGTATGCAGGATCAATTAGTAATCCTGACAATGGGTACACTTAACCTAACTTCTTATAAAGTGAGAGGGTTAAATCAGTACTGATATACATCTGAGATTTAACCCTATTTTAGGGTAAGTCTATACCTTTAGCACTCCACTCATTTGATTAGTAGAGTCTGGACGTTATATCCAGATTGTACTAAGCTCACTTTGGTTCACATATCCAAATCTAACCTCGAGGCTAATATAACAGTCCTCCCCAAACAGGGAAAAAATCTAGAGCTGTGTAGTAGCTATCGCCCCATTTCCATAATCAATGCAGATTTAAAAATTTTCACTAAAATGATGGCGAACATGCTGAGACCATTGCTGGGGGGATTAGTCCACCCTAAACAGGTGGGGTTTGTGCCATGCAGGGAGGCTAAGGATAATACAACCAAAATTATAGACCTGGCCTTCTGGGTGCATAGGACGCAGACTTCGGCCATTATGCTATCAATAGATGCAGAAAAAGCTTTTGACAGGGTGGACTGGTCCTTCATGGCGTCTACAATGGAGTGCCTGGGTCTAGGGCCTAATTGGATGAAGTGACTGAATGTGATTTATTTGCAGCCAACTGCAAGGATTAAAGTGAATGGCCAGCTGTCACATCCCTTCAACATCAATAATGGTACACGTCAGGGATGCCCTCTTTCCCCACTATTATTTATTTTAACAGTTAAACCGTTTTTACATGCGGTAAGAAGAAATCCTGCTATTAGAGTGATACCAGTATGTTTGCAGGATATGATACCCTTCCTGAACAACATCAGACGCAACAAACATATACATGGCCTAGAACAGGGTCGGACACATCACAAAGTCCTTGCCTATGCAGACGATCTCCTCCTCATAGTGACAGGCCCAAATACTTCCCTACGGGCGATTACAACAGAATTTGACATCTATGGCTGCATATGCAATCTACAAATCAACTACTCGAAATCGGAAATCCTAGGTCTTACTGTCAATCACACTCAACGATGGGCGATTCAACACTGCTTTCCGTTCTGCTGGTATGATACCCAGATGCAATACCTGGGAATCTGGCTCACACCCAACCCGGCGGACTTATATGTCCATGTTGCGGTCGCCGGCCCGCCGCGTGGCATGGCCGTGCCCGACCGACACAGCATCGCCGACAGCACAAGCCGGCAACCGCTCCCCCAGGTCTTCCGGGCGTCGCGCCCAAATCAAAGATGGCGCTGACCGTGTGGTCGCGTCCATCTCTAGCTCCGCCCCCGAAAATTATACTAACGTGCACGTGATGTCACGACGTCAACGCACATGCACGTTTTGGGGTCAGAGGTCGCCCTCTGACCAATCAGAGCATAGAGAGAGATATTTAAATCCCTAACTCTCCCCAGTACCTTGCCCTGTCGTGGTTTCCTGTTCCTGGTTTCCTGAGAGTGCTTTATCTTTGTGAATCTGATTTCCTGGTATCCTGATCTTGGCTTTGCCCTGGTATTCTGAATTCTGGTTTCCCTGACTTGGCTTGTGTAAACGGAATTGTGTATTTTCTGGCTTCCTTGACCTCGGCTTTCCCTTTGACCATTCTCTGTCTCTAGCGTATTAGTCCGGCCATTCTAAGGTCCGGTTTATGCTCTGTCCTTTTATTTTCCTTTTCCTTCTTATGTATATGTTTACAGAGTTTCTGCGTGCTGGACCACACTACTAGTCGTGACAGTCCACAATTACGCGCCGATTCTCAAAAAGGCAACAGAGGAACTGCAATCCTGGACCTCGTACTACATTTTGTGGCTGGGCCGCGTGAACGTGTTCAAGATGACCTTGCTCCCCAAACGTCTCTTTGTTTTTCAGACCGTACCAGTCCTGGCCCCAAAAAGCTTCTTCATCACCATACAGACGGAGGTACACAAATTCATCTGGAAGGGCAGATCCCCTCGTGTAGCCCATTCCCAACTGACACTATCCAAAAACAAAGGCGGACTAGCCTTACCAGATTTTAAACAAAAATACTACTTAGCAGCTCATGTCACCAGAGTTATCAGCTGGTCCACGATGTCAACCACGATCTCCGAACCCTACCCTGGATCACGAGGGAGGCGAGCAGACAACTCCACATTCTGAACCTTTTTGTGAAAGCCACGCTTCATCTCTAGCACCTCAACGAAGCCAGATATTACCTTTCAACGGACTCTGGGCCCCTGCTCCCCCTGAGAGGCAACCCACACTTCCCAGCAGGAGACTAGGGACCTCTCCCCAGTCTGACAAACCGCGGCACAATACTCTGTAATGCCGTTGTACCATTAAATTTGCCCGCTGACCGCCCTCTTCCCAGACCAGCAACACTCATTCTTATACACCCTGGCGAGAGAGAAAATATCAAATTATGCTAACTCAGTTCATCAAAAACCCTACATACTTCGGGTAAGAACAGAGTTCGAATCCCTCTGCCTACAGGGAATGGAGCCACCAAAACCTGTCTTCCTGATCTATGCCACATTGGTGACACGCCGATACCTACTAGCCCCACCATGCATTAGGCAATGGGAAGAAGACCTCGACAAAACATTCTCAGAGGCAGCTTGGGACAAAATCATCACCCACATTAAAAAAAAAAAACAAGGTAGGCAAGACTACAAGAAAATCCATACAAGGTCTTCACCCGCTGGTACATTACCCGTGCCACCCTTCACGCCAGTGACCATACGACACCAGATTCATACTTCCGTCGCCCCCAGAGCAGGCAGGGGCCATTAAAACTGATTATTCTCCTATGTCATGCAGGCCTATGGCCGCCATAAACCCAACCACGACAACTACTGTAAGCCCAGGCAAACAGACCATCCCTTTTGGACCAGACCCATCCACTGACCCATTCACCACTGCAGTCCAAACACTCAAAGCCTAAGAGTCAGGGCTCACTTTGGGGCAAAGGAACTTAGGTTTCTGGACAAACTCACCATCATACCACCCCAGCACACGTTTAACTACCCTCACACCTATATGAGATGTTACGCTACCGCACCCAGGGAATTAGATGCCAGTTTTCAACACAGTCCGCATTTTAGATGTATGCGGCATTGCTCTAGGCTGCAATATAGCTACATATAGGATTGATGCTTCGATGATTGCCGACATACCTCAAACATACATTGTCACGTACACTCTGAGTGGTTACTATATACCAAACTTCAGAAGTCTGAAAGCCTGGAAGGTCCCGAAACTGGAAACCCGATTCCTTTGTTACAGTGTGAAATGTTTAGCTTTACCTGTATATT